CAAATGTGTTTCTTCATCGGAGGATTATTGTGTTAATATCTTACGAAATGATATCTTTCGTCGATCGATTTTTTAAACTTGTTAGTTTAGTGTAGATGGCAAATCAATGGATCATCGTCACTGCTCAAATCCTGCATATCTCGTCTATAGTATGAAACATAACGTGAACGTTATCGTTAGGAGCAGTTTAGATTAAACACGGTACCACCAGATATATGTTTAAAGTGCCTTTGTTTGATCGTTTTCACAGAACAGTTTGCTCGTTCGTAAAAATTTCCTAAAGAGTAAAACGGCTAAAATTTCGTATCATAATATGCAAGTAACCCAAGTTTTTTAATTATTCACAAACCAAAAGGAAACAGCTCGACGAATAGACCAAAGTTTGTTGTTTGTGTGTTTCGGTTTGACATTCCATTTCACAACTGATTACTCCGCCGACCAATCTGCCCTGTGAGTGAGTTTGCGAAAGCAATAACGCTTGCATGAACAGAACGGCTCAGCGCTTATATTAACACATGGTTAGACACTTTCCAAGTCCGCATACACCGACACTATCGCGAGCGGACTACTCAGGTTCTGTTGATTGCAAAATATGTTATGGCGACGGATTTTCTACACAGTTAAGCCAGACAAGATGTCGTCGGAGGATAGAAACTTAAAATTACCAACTTGCGTGCGGTGTGCAGATTAAACAGCTCGACGTGCTTGATGGACTAAGTGAGATATTCTTTTCGTTTACATACGACCGTTGCTTACGTGTTATTTTAGTAAAACTATTTATGATCAGTTCACGTTCGCTGCAAAATCTCAGCGTCCGAAAAAAAGATAAATCGCTTTCCGTTTTGGTAGGTCTAACAAAGACTCTGAACGGTTCAGATTATACAATGAAACTATTCTTGTCACTCCACCTCATCTACTCTGGTTATTGAGTTGATCTCGGTTGAGTTAACCTACCTTATGCTGGTTTGTACGGGTTGGCACAATATCAAAACATGTTTGAATTTGTGAGAACAAAGTCATCATCTGCAGAGTTGATTGCCGTAGACGAGATGGTTACCTTAGTAAACTCGTTAAATAAAACTTTTCACTATAGTGTTTCATGCTATTCTTTACATATTCGACTCAATTGTGAACCTTTATATACCGGCGACGTTACCGGATCATTAGGAACATTTTGTCGATGAGATCAATCGCCTATATTGTACACTTCTTGTGTCTGTCTGGAACTACTGATAATTTGTTCTCGTACTTTGACTGTTGGTATAAAACTGGAACCTTTCGGATGTTAGCCAGTCCAGTGCACTATACTACTGATGGTACATATCCTAAAAAATACCTATTCATTGTATTAAAAAGTTATAGTCAATTAGCATATAATGCTTGTCCGTCTGTACAAGTTTTACTTGGATTTCAGGTGGCAAGATGACCATTAATACCTCTGATTTCTGTTGGTTGTTGTCCACTGACCTTATTTCTGACTGACTGACACATGGCGATAGCTAACTTGATTCGGCTGCTTTGGCTAGAGTGCGCTACTTATGAATTTACTATTCTGAAGCGGTGGTTATCTAACGCTTGTTTACGGCGGACATGCATCATCTTGACTATATGACTGTTCGGTTTTCCTACGTAAAGCTTGTAATGAGTGTTTGTACGATCACTTCCTAACATGAGCACGCGCTAATTGGACAGACTGTTGTTTTCAACCTTGTTAAAACAAGATAGCGCCAGTGAAATTTTACAGATGTTGGCCAGATTATATGGTTTAGTTGTTATGATGGACGTGTACACCTTCGGGTGCCCCAGGAACAGTGGGACTATACTATTATAAAGCGAAGAGAGAAACTGTAAGCAGCACGACACCGGCCTCGGGTCAACTTCATAAGAGCTTTTGCCTAACCGCTGTGGAAGATCGTGAGGATCAAGTTCAACATTTATCTTTAACCTGCTGAGCATTGGACGTGTGCTGAACAATACGACATTCCCCATATGAAATGTTCAGGGGTCAACCTACAACCACGTTTTGCGGCAGGATTGTTCCTGTCCTAATGTCAAGTTCAACTTTTATTCAGAGGGTTGACTAGTTCAAACTAGTCAAGTGTTAACATTATCTGATAAGCGAAGTTGATAAACTTCGACAAAATAGAACTGTTTGTCTTATCTTCTTCAGGCTTGAACGTGAGGAGTATCAACGATGAATTTAAGTGGTTTTTTTCCAGAAGTGTAGTCATTCATTCTGGCGGTCCATGAGGTACCTACGTAGGTTTATGCTGAGTCCTACATAAGTATTATTTAGACCTGGGTTTATATCGTTTTAAAGGAGAAACCACTGATGTTGTATAAAACACAGGTGGAGTTCCTGATACACTAGTTTCTAACAGGGGACATCCAAAACAAACTAGAATAATATTAAACCTCCTACATTTTCCAGAAATTTTGTTCTCATGATTCACCTGGTAGAAATGAAATTCGTGGGCTGTATCATGCAATAATCTGAATGTAAGTCAAATTTGTGAATTTTTGCCCGTGTGACGGCGCTCATACAGAAGTAGGACAAAATATATGAACAAAAACACTTCAAAAAGAAACACACACTCCACGTTTCCCTCTAATTTAGTAGCAATTTGACCGATTTTTTCTTTTCGTTCCCTTTTCTTTGAGTTTTTAACCTTGATGAAAATGAGCAGTAGCGTGCTGTTCTTGGAAAGTCAAGTGCACTGTGTGTTCTTTCTCCGCTACGCCTGTGAGTCCATCTAAACAGTCGGGCGAAGAAAAACTTCAAGGATAAAATAAACAGCCGAGTATTATACACTTTAATAAATGTATTCAATTATCACGCTCTCAGGACGCAACTGCAGGAGGATCAAAATCGATAATGAGTGACAGCCTGTGCATCTCTATAGTACACACAGAGTTGATGCGTTATGAATTGTTGCATAACTCTCAGTGAAAACTGCAAGAGAATGTTGACACTACAATTCTTAACCAGCTGTTAAGTATTGTGTTGTAATTTGTGTTGTGTTACCAGTAACGAAGGAAGACATCCTGAAGTGTCAACGTTTCGTTTACACCCTTCACTACCGAACGTAAAATATTAGAATGTACAGAACGGCACGGTGGAAACCAATATAGAAACGGTCACGATCGGGATTTACAACAGAAGGAAGGAATATTATCAGTTCGCGTCCATAGTTTATACACACACACACAAGGTCGAGTAGGGAACAGTAGTTAACAGGGTTTGGGAGAATGCAGATAATTCTAGACCCCGAGAGCGTAATAATACATGAAACAAAATGACTGAGTCGGCGAGACAAACGGTTTAGATGATGGACCTTGCAATCAACGAAGTAGGATTTCGGCTACCTCGTTCAGTTGTCGTTGTCTGTCATGTCATCGCCGTTGTCCTGGACCAACTTGCAAGTGATCGTATCCAATGTTACATTTAATGAGGGAGTTGCGTTCACTTACGAGAATGAGATCAGAATGCTTGTCATCTTAGTTCAGCAGAAACTTATAGAACGCAGAACCAAAACTATATCGAATGTTTTCCTATTTTAATACTGCTTCAACGCATGTGAATGCATATCAACGGTAAGGTGCACGTCAACCGTTGCCATTATTTTCTTGAACGCTGGTTCATAAGAGGCAAACAGAAGCTGGTGTCATCTCCTGATCATACAACCATAAGGGATTTGTATAGCAAAGTCGCCAATGACGAAAGAAGGCATCGCGACCTTTCGTTCATTCGCTTGAGTGACGAGGATATATGGAACATGGTAATCACAGTGGAGCTGGTCACGATTGAGCTTTGTATTGAAGGATGGAAAGCAGTCAAGCTATCTGAGTCAGCAGTTGTGTACACAGTGCAAGTCACGAGTATTGAGCAACAGCATATCGGAGAACGTGAACAAGTTGAGATTCATTAGACGGAATACATCAAACGAGGCGACTGAATCAGCACTATGAGCGATCTATATGATGGGCCTTGCAATCAACGAAGTAGGATTTCTGTTACCTGGTTCTGTTGTCATTGTCTGTTACGTCATCGTTCTGGTTAACAATTGGGCATACGTTCAGTCATTCTTTGTCTTTGGCATCGATCAGTCCTGCTAGTACACTCATCATCGCATCCGTTTTCAAACCTACAGCTGGTGCGTAACGTAACGTGACCGTTCCTACTGTTGCCACTCATATTCCAGTGTTTTACATTTTTGACTGCATAGAGCACATCACGATACATCTCTTCCATGGTTCAAATATTCCATCTCTCACATTGTATACCAGACAAGTCAGATTGGCAACTTTGCTATTGAATGTTTGAACGCAGCTCAAACTAACTGAACCAACACATTAGCCTCAATTTAATGATAGGACAGCCCGAAATCCCACATCAAAGTTTTGTAAACACTTCAGGGTAAAAGGTCGCCTATTCGACCTAGTTAGCTGGTTCACAGTAATGAACGATAAGAAAATGAGTTTACTGTATTGTAGCAAAACCGGCGTTTTGTACATAAAAGTGCTTGAGGGAACGTATTTAGTTGTCGTGTTTCTGATTATTTAATAAGCGGTGTGATTACACTCGTGGCTAGTCCCCGTTTGTCTGTATTTGCCCAGCGCAGATAATCTGCATGGTTTACTTCTGCATCTGCTAGGAACAATCGAAAAATTAGCATATCATAGCACATCTTTTTCTGCTCTGCTGAAGAGGATAAAGGGAATTCCGTATTTAAGGAGTCAGTTTGTCTGCTTTCTTCCATACGTCATTACGTTTGGTTTGGCTTGGAGTATGTTTGATATGTGTGGACAATAAATGTAATAAACTCATGGTGGATTATTTTTCGAAGAGACCCAATTGCGAAAATTCTGAACTTCGGCTGGATTCGTACGAGCGACAGAATCAGCATGCCAAAATGCGGTAAATACTCTACCAGCTGAGCTACGAAGCCACGCTAGGAGCTCAGAAATTGGTTTCCTACCCCAACTGGTAGAGCATTTGCCACATCTGAGCATGTTTCTGTCGCTCGTTCGAATCCAGCTGAAGTCCAGAATTTTCACGATTGGGTCTTTTCTAAATTATGAAATCTGCCAAACTACTTCTTGGCTTATTTTTAGTTATTCCGATCAACTATGAATTGGGAAAGTTGTGCACCTAGTTCTAGTTGACCAGTGAGTGATACAGGAAGTTTTTGACTGTATATCTCTGTAATAAAGCTGTTAGTTTTGCCATTACAAGAACGATACCGCGGTCGTAATTACGTGGCATTCACGTGCAAATTAGCGCGTTCTTACAGACCCTAAAGGCCTTGATTCATCGCATTCATAAAAAATTTATAGCTTGGGTGAGAATACCTCTATACATCATTATGTATGTTGAGCAGGTTAGAAAGAAAATAATCAACTGATGATTTCAGTTTTGGAGTTCTCAGTTCATGAGAAAATTTTGGACGAATCTGAGCGGGAGGGAAAGCCAGTCAAAGTGCACACTATAAGTAAGTTCAGCCTGTTGCAAACAACAGGCGATCAAAAGCAACAGTGAGGTACCATATGTATCTTTATTCTGCCATAGGGATTCTAATGGCTATCTGAAGGCTTCTTGGTATTTTGCATGTGTGCACCGAGTATTCGTATGATCCACTGTCGACCTTGCTCCGGCTGATTCTGGTAGGCTGCTTTAGGTATATCAGACAAATGGTGCATCTGATGCTACAGACTTACCGAGTTACCTCGTAGATGATGGCCCGGGTAAAGCAAAGCGTAGTTTGTACCCGGAGATGGGATAGGTAGGTAATTTATAGTAGTTGAATATGCTTTTTGTGCATTGTTTGCATCATATACAAAATGTTTAACTCATAACTTAACAATTTACAACTGTGCCGTATACAAAGATTTTGTAATTTTTGGTAGTTGACATTGTACAAACTTACGTACAAGTACACTGACCTTTGTTGCTGAAATGATAAAATTCTACTGGATGAACGTAACTCAAATTTGCATGTACATTTCATCATCCAATGTTGTTGTCTGCCGAAAAAAGTATTGTGTAACAGGCTAGGCAATTACTGTGAGTACAACTGGTCTCAGAACTTATAATTGCATAACTATGGAATATGGTTAACAGCTCAAACGTATCCCCTAAAGGCGCTTCAGTAACCTGAAATTTGAAGACATGCAACTGTGGGTAATCGTTTTGGTAGCAAACAATGTGAACATATTGAGTATACTTGAAACTGTCTGCGACTTCTGTGATTTTGAAAACGACTCGCAACGTTTAAATTTTGACCAGAAGGCTGCTATATACACAATGAACTAGATGTAAGTTTGGGATTATGCAGAATGGGATTACTGTGAGGGATATAGATTATAGATTGATGGAACAGAAGCGGAGTTCATTATTTCGTCACAGTTAATGTTACAGGCAAAACGGAGATTACTGGAGATGTAGAATACAGAAGTAGATTGAACATAATCGATAAAATAGATGGTTCTAGAGACGGTTAGCTCCACCGAAGCGGCCTTCAAATGTTCAGCTCATCCAACCACCGATGTAAGTCGGTCAGATGGATCCAAATCCGAGCACTATGTACCTGAGTAGACGTAACTTACTGGCTAGAATTCGTGTGAAATTATTGACATAGTAGTCGGTACAGTTGTCTCGCAAGTTTACGGACCGCGGATTACTTTTCTACTAATGATGTGTTCACACGATCTATTGAAAGTGAAACATGGTGTCTTCGTTCGAAACGGGCCGACGTGAAGTATCTAGGTAAATACCAAATTTGCTATCAAATTCGAGTGATACTTAGTGTATATCATTGATCAACAAATTACTCGGCAATTTTAGCTACATTGTGATTTCACTTTAACTAACAAGTTTGGATCGTGGAAGAAATGAACAAAGAGTTAACATAATAGGCAAAATTTCTCCCTTGAAGGACAGTGGGAAACCCGACAACTCATCGTAGTCTGATAAAACGATAAAAGTTACTGATCATCAGAAATTCTGAAGTTCAACAAGCACTTTGTCACGTAGATGTTTTATTTGTTCTGCCAACGCAGTTTTTTTAAATTTCTGTCCAAATTATTTCGTTCCTTTTCTGATTAAAATGATAAAATTGGATAGACAAAATTTTTATTTGTTATGCTTGAAGAAAAGCGATTGCGAATCTACTGTGATTACAAAATATATTCATCATACATTATTCTGCAAGATGTTACTACTTTTGGTACTCAGGTTTTTCTGTCCAGTATGAATTAGCGACCGGAATGACTGTCTAAGTACCATCGGAAACATCCCCATGTTGCGACTCGGAAAACATTCTCTAAGATGATTTATTTTACGAGCTAAGTCGCTTGGTCTAACAATTAAACAGCTTTCTAGCGAAGATCGTACCAGTTGCAAAGCTTCAAGGGCAAACCGTAAGTTGGACTTGCTGGTACGATAATATCCTCAATTATTACCCCATAGAGGAGTATAACCTTTGTAACCGAGGTCACATGAGCTTCTAGATAAGTACCAGAAGAAAGTGCATATTGACTTTTCAAGGTCAGCAGCAAATATAACCATCTAAATTGAATCATGTAGCTTATCCGGAAAAATTGATGATACATTGAGAAGTACATGGCAATGGTGTAACGCTAATTTTGCTTTGTATTAGGCATAATGATTTGCACGTGGCAACATTAAGCTTAATTGCATGACCACTCAATATTTTTCTTGATCATCCCGCTGCATCAAGCTATGAAGGGCCGGCTTTTCACATCTAACCAACTGACATCAGCACCCTCCCCGATTAAAAATGTGTTAGCAATCGTTTATCTTTTCGGAACAAGCAAAAAACTGAGTAATCATTGGCGGTAAAATTACGAAACAACTGCAGTGATCCTGTAAGACTGGTACAAAAAATCCGGTTCACGTCTGTATTGGAAGACAATTTTCGCCGGCTTCGAAAAGAGGTCAACGGGGAAAATACTTCCAACTCTATGTTGGCTCGGCTTTGGCAATTCGATTGTGCGGAAGGATTGGTGGTCAATTTAAATTCAAACAGTCGCAGTCGATAAAACGGCTTGAAATCTGTTTTCGTTATCGCAAACTGTACATTTCGAACAGCTTCAGGTTGCACCTTTCACTTAAAAAAATGTCAACATAACAGGTGAATTCGGAGGTTAAACTAAGTTACAGTAATTTCCTGAGAATCTCACCATCACGAATTAAAGACAAAAAGATGACCTATAGATATGTGTAGACATAGCAGGCTCTGAGTCTAATGACTGGAGTGTAACACAGTGCAACGACTAAATGTTTGAAGAGGCAAGCTGATAGTAGTATGTTGCGAAATTTTTTTCCAACTGATTTTACCGCATCTCATGTAGTAAATACTACAGGAATGAAAACCACGAAACTGGCATCAGATAGTCACGCAATGTGCTGACCAGGTATAAAAAATCCTTGAACACTATCAAGGTGGTACTAAGTTAATAAACATTTCCTTTTGTACACACAGTGGTCTTGCCTCGGCAGAATGAAGTATGCGAGTGTTCCGGTGCGTGAAGTTGACTGAGAATGCCGACGGATTGTCACTGTCGTGATCCGTCTCGAGCATGTGACACGTAATGGAGAAAGCTGGTGCCTTGTGTGAATGGCTTTTGTTCTCATCCACACAATTTCCAGTAGGTTGGCTGACGCGGTTACACACCCACTTAGGCAAATGCTCTGCCATCCTGACATGCAGCTGTTGTTTTCTTGAGGTGTTTCGCTAAAAACCTTTAAAAGAACGTTGTTATTACCGTTGGCCAGATTGTAAAACGATGTGAACGCTACTATAATCCACCGTAATGTTTCTTCTGGTCTACGTCTTCCATATTGTTTTTCACTCGTAATTTCTCGTCCGTTAGGCCGATCTTGTTCAGTGGTGGCTAATCTGTTTCCCGTGGTCCATCCGTTTTAAGGTCTTATTACATACAACAGCCGCGTTGAGATATTCTACTGAGTGACGAGATAATCACGTCTCTGTCCAGGTCACCCGCTTCACTGTGAGTAGCGCATCTGACATGGTGAGCACCTGGGTAACTGACGCGCAACATGTTCACTTCAATCCTGCTCAGTTTGGAATAAATTAATAAGTGTTGGAAGTGGAAGGGGTTTCATCTTTCCTAGATACTCCGACGGGATTTTGTGGTGCGTTGTGACAAAAATACACTCCGGACGGTCGCGGTAGCAAAGGTATGAACATAGATGGCTTGTTTTCCCGAACGACCCAATAAAAGATAGGCGATTGGTGGTGAATTGGGGATGAACCCACAACTGTGAGCTCGAGTGTACCGGATATACAGATAGATGAAACAGATCTTAATTCCGGTGACAATATGTTGGCGCTTGTTACATTGCATATGTCAACCAGAATCGTTTTAATCATTGGTCTCACTTCTCGCGAACCTAGCTATAGCTCTGGTGATTGCGTGCTGAATTGGTCAGATTGTAGTTCAAAGCAAAACTAGCCTGAAAATCCGTTGGGTTTCTTTGCCTAGCAAGAATACAAGGATTCCCAAATGAACAGCTCTATATCTGATTTGAAGACCATCTTGATATCAGTGCTGTAATTTTGAACCAACACTCTTCTGTCCTCTTTGGGACAGGATGCCGAAGTTATTTATAAAATTTCTCAGGAGGAGAGCATTGAATTCCTACAAGCTACTTTAAAAGAAAAGGCCTCTAAGCTGAATTCATAATTTTGTTTCTACCGTCTACTGACTTGCCCCGACGACTTTTAAAATATGCAAGCAACTATGTTCTGCTTCCGATAATTTGATAGATTTTTTGCTAGCGATTACATTTTCAAATAAATTTGTTGCGTTTTAAGACTGCACGAATATATGCAAATTACAGGGGATCTTAAATGTCTTGTCATATATATGTATATATATATATACAGCGCCGCATATATTTATT